TGCAGAGCCACAGTACAAAGCCAGAGCAGGAAGAGGCTTTGAGGTCTGAATATCCACTCAGTGGTACCCAGAGAACCAAGGGAACATTTCTGAAAATTTCAAAAGTCATAAGTGCTTACTATAGAATATTGATAAAATTCAAAAAAAAGAAAAAAGAAAAAGGAAGAAAGGAAAGAAGGAAGGAGGTAGGGAGGGAAGGAAGGAAGGAAGACATTACACCTCAATCTGGAAATTGCCATGGCTGCTACTTGGGTATATATTCGCTCAGACTTTTTTATTTAAACCTATGAATCTTTGTGGACAGCTTTCCCTGAAGTTGGACATGCCCCTGCCCCCTAGTTTGAATGGCTGCATCGTATTCTATTGAATGGATGAACCATAAACATTGCGTTGTTTCTCCAGGACTTTGGACTGCTTCCATGGACGGGCCCTCTAGGGATTCCAGAAGCCTAATTATGCTGTAGAAAATGATTCACAATCCGTTCGTAATTGCTGGCCTCTTTCCTTTCCTTCATTTGCTCCAGTGAACCATGGAAACATTCCCTGGAGGCCTGGGATGTAGTACAGGAGTTTAGATTCCCAGAACAGCCAGGCCTTCATAGTTGGGAGTCCTTTAGAAACAGAACTAGGGAAAAAACAAGCTAATAGGAATGTTTCTTTTTAGATCCAAAAACTTTTCATTGAAAAACAATATTAAAAAAAAGGGCCGAAAAATTTGCTATTCCCTCCCAGCTGCTCTGCTGGACACTTGCAGGGCAATTAGCTATAGGCAGTTGTGGAAATTTGTAGGTTCAAAGCTTCTGCAGTTGAGCTCAGTGGGTTATTCTGCAAAGTCTTGGGTAATTAAAGCATGATAATAGTGAGGCCCCTAACTAGATGCCTTTGCGGATAACAGCTTCATTCTGGGAGTTTACCACAGAAGGCAAAATGCCTGTGAGCCATATGGGAGATAGAAAATCTGGTAAATTTGTGGCCAGCCCAGTGCCAGTGTTGGAAAAATAACTTGCAGTCGTATCTCTAAATGACTGTGGAGCCCTTCTGATCAGCAAAGAACAGTTTATTATTTTCTATATTGGTTTGCTTTAAAATGGCATCTTACTTCAACAGCTACTTAAACTGCAGGATGTTAGCCCAAATTGCGTTGCTTAGGATTAAATGCTTCATAAAAACTCCCCAAGTCCAGGGACTGCTGGATGATAGCTGAAAACAAAACAAATAAACAAACACAAAAACAAATAACACCTTGCCTTATTCTGCTTTAAAAGGTGTTGATTTGTTTGCCTTGACTGTGTTCATTGAACAAAAGAAAGATTTTTTTCAACAGAGGTTAGAATTATTTGGGAGGTAGTCTATAGCTTCCTGTAGGTCTCCTTTAGCGAGCTATCCTGTGCGATCTCGAAGTGCCAGCCCTCTGGGCCTCCGGCTCACTGCTCTTTGACTTCCAAGCACACATGGCCCACATCACTCTTCCGTCCCAGTGGATTCACCTTCGAGCTCCTTCTCTAGTCCACTCTCAGGAAGTCCTTCCCAATCAGTCCAGACTAGATTCAAACCCTGAGACCTATCAGCCATCCTAGAGCTGGTTTGTACTTTGATTTCCAAACAACGCTCTAAATGGTTACGTGGCTTTCAGAGCTAGGAGTCCTCATTCCAGCTTCCAGCATTACCTCTGATGCAGGGTAATCTGGTCAGTTCACACAATTCTCCCTCATATTACATACAGTTTGATCTTCTCCAAGCAGAGTAGATGCCTCTTTACAAATCAAAGGTCCTGGTTCCCATCTGGAAGTTGAATGGAGTCAAGCTTTGTAACATATCTACCCTGAGGTTAGGAGAAAAGCTCAGCCACAGTGGAATGTGAGATTATAGTCTCCGTGGGCCTCCGCCTCTCTCATTGTCAAGGGCGGCTGTCAGAGCAGTTTCCAGCTGTATTGAATTGCTCCAAAGGACCTTTTGGATCTGGCAGCACCATTAACCTGGAGGAGTCCTGCTCCAGAAGCACAAAACAAAATAGGGTGAAGAAAATTTGCTGTAAGCAGTTTTTTCTTCTCTAGTTTCTTCAGCCCACACCATGTTATGTTGCTAACAAAGAAGAAAAATAGTGACCTTTGAACCTCTGTTTTGAAGAAGTCTATTCTTTGCTTTAAGGAATGAGAAAGATGTACCTGCTGTTTCTGTGTTTGCATTTTAGTTAATTTTTAAAGGTATCTTTTTGGTCTAATAAGAAGTATGTGGGAAATGGAGTTTTCCCAATGTCCTTTCACAGCGTGATGAGAACATACTGCAGAGCGTCAATTTTCTGGTATTTTGGGGAGTATAGAATTCTGTATCTCCAAGGTATGCATGAGTTACTGCAAGAGTATGAAGCCCCAGTAAATGCCCCAACGCTCCTACAGTCTACATGGGGAACAGGTCCTGGGTTGAGTTACATACTTGGCATCATTTTAACTTGAGGTATTTATACCGCCACCTGCCCATTTGACTTTTTCATGGGCTTCCTTGAAGATATTCTCTGACACCAATGACTGACAGTCATTCCACTATAGGAAATAGATTACATTAGTTTTCTATTACTGTCTAACAATATTTCCACAAACTTAGAAGCTTAAGCCATACACATGTGTTTTCTCACACTTTCTGTGAGTTAGGGGTCTATGCACGGTGTAAGTGGGTTCTCTGCCTCGGGGTCTTACAAGACTGCAATCAAGATGTCAGCCAGAGATGTGGTCTCATTCAAGACTCAACTATGGAAGGATCCACTCCCAAGCTCATGTAGTTGTTGGCAGAATTCACCTCCTTGCATCTGCCTCATTTCCTTGCTGGATGAAGGCTGTAAACTGCCCTTAAGTCCTTGAGGCATCCCATAGTTTCTTCCCACATGGGGCTCCATGGGGCTTCTTCAAAGCCAGCATAGGAGAGGGAGAGCCCAGCAAGATGGTTACTAAACTATTATACAATGTAATCACGTACATGTAATCAACCAATGGTCCATTTAAATACATCTGATTTGTAATCCATAAAGATTATCCTAAATCCTGCCCCATAATATGCTTAAATGTGATTTGTGTCTATAATTCCTGCATGGAAATCAAAACCCTAGAATTCTTCCTCCCGTTCCTCCAAGATCAGAAGAAATTTCCTCTGCAGACAACAAACTTTCAAAGAGCTGTGCTAATCCTGGGAGGAAAACTTTGCAAAATATTGTTTCCACTTTGATGTGCTAGCTTTTACCCTGTATTCAAAAGCAAAGGTCTCTCTATTCATATTTCTTATGAGATCACTGAGCAATGGAGTGGCCATAAATTTCTCCTGTAATGGGTCGCACTTGTATGCAAAGAATACCAAGTTATTTTTATAAAAGTGTTAAGTCTCTAGGTATTTTTAAAAATAGTATTAATGGGCAATTCTGTCAAGTGTGCACTGCTATTCTTACCAAGTCTACGTCTTTTCAAGCTGGTTGCAATTTGATTCATCCAGGATTAGCCAGCTGTCCTAAACAAGTGTTTTTTGTTTTCGGGGGGTTTTTTGCTGCTGTGGTTTGTGTGGCCATATTAGAACACCCCTGGGGAGGCCTACTAGCAGCGCTCACTGGGAAAACTGGCTCGATTCCTGCCCTCCTGATCTCCTACTATACAAAATCTGTGATTTCTTTGGGCATGAAGGAAATCCTCCCATTGGTGGGAGTGGCTGGCAGCTCCTGATATGAGATCACTGGCTATTCTGTCCAAGGTACAAGATTTCCTTTCGACCTGGCAATGCCACTTCGAAACATTTTCAGAGTAGATGAAAAGTGCTATATTGGAAAATAGGTTAATCTGGTTATTTTAGTAATTTAAAATCCTGAACTAACTGAATAATGAAGATATAATCTTGCTTTATATTCTATGAGGGTCTTAACTGCTTTACTAAAAAATATCATTCATTAAAAAAAATTTCGGGGGCTAGAGTATAGCTCAGTGGTAGACTGTATGCTTAAATGCACAAGGCCCTGGGTTCAATTCCTAGTACCTCCATTTAAAAAAAACTTCTTTAACTTCAGCATCAGCAAAACTCATGAAAGGGATATTTTTGAGTGTACAGTTTACCTGAGAATGTCAACCATCCTCCTCCACTCCTTCTTCTGTAGCCTCAGTGTATTTGCATCTCAGCAATGTTCGGTAACTTTAAAACTGTCTAAAAGATAGGAAGCATTTAGGTCCTTGAATTATTCTTCAGGATGTTTCATATTTCTCATATTTCCTTCTATCCTTATACGTTTTTTCTTCCTTGTTATTCTTACCTGTGTCCTTTTTTAGCTGCTTGTCCATACAACTCTC